CCCTGCCAACCCCTAAGGAACCCTCCATTGTAGAGTATATAATGGATACAAATTTCCTCACTAAAGCATGTTAAATGACTGCAATTTTGTTTTAAATGAAAAGTTGATTAGTGTTTATGTTTTTTTTCTCACTAATATTTATAAAGTGTTGGCATTCACAAAATTGAATTTTTACTAACTACGATGTAGGAATAGCACAGCAAGCAGGATGTTTGCCTTGCACGCAGCCAACCTGGGTTCGATTCCTTCGCCTCTCTTGGAGAGCCTGACAAGCTACCAAGAGTATCCCTCCCGCACGTCAAAGCCTGGCAAGCTCCTCATGGTGTATTCGATATGCCAGAAACAGTAACAAGTTTCACAATCTGTTGTGAGACGTTACTTGTGCCCTCTCGAGCATATCGATGAACAATGGTAGGACAGTGCTACAGTACTATGTGGGAACAAGTAGAAGAGTACTTTAAAGCTTAACTCCCCCCAAAATACAAATTTTATGTCAATTTAAACCACACGCATGGACCTTATCAGGTGCACCTTGGATACTAGCTAACTGCTTAGTAATTTAATGCTATAATTCTTACAACAATGTAGACTGATTAAAGAAGCTATTAGAGCTATAGAAAAAGGACATTGATTGCCACAGAAGTAGAAGCTCAACTTCAATAAGTTTACTTCAGTGGACTTCGGCAATAATAATTCCACAGTGAATTGCATTGGCTTTAACCACCAACCATTGGAAAAGATTAAAAACTAAAATGATACCAAAGCTCACAGTTACCCTCCAAGTGTGTTTCCTGTTAAAATACCAGTAGCCTGTCCAATATGGAATGTGATAGTGAATATGACATTAGACACTGGCAATGTGAATATCACAAGTAAACATTTGCCACCTGGCTGCCCAACACCAACAGTTGTTATAGGTGTCATTAATTTGGGAATGTGGTGGGGTAACACTATGGAAATAATATGTCATGCACTCTTGATTGGATCTCTTGCCAATCAAAGTACTACACAAGGTTCTTTGTAGTGAATCACTTATCTGGAAGAGATTGGATTGTCTAGAAACAAATTGGGATGAAGACCAGGGAGCTTCTTAAACAGTCAAATATAAGTCAGGGGAAGAAACTGTATTTTTATAATTTTCATATTGTAGTTCTAATATTTTATGTTTATGTATTTTTGTGCTTCAGTTTGCATGGCTTTTCAACTAGGTCCTTAATATATTCTATCCATAAAAAACAGCTTTCACTTTTTGTATTTTAAGATATTATTATTTAAGGTAAAAAATATAACTGAATATTTCTATTTAAATATAAAATGAACCTTAAAAGTGAAGGAAAGAAGTTTCTTTAATGTAAAGAAGTTCAAAATTATTTTTATTATCTTTTGGAATCTTTCTATATTCTGAGTGTTTGAAATAGGTTTTTTTTAATATTGTAAAAATTACATCAAACTTGAATACACTGACTCTGTCAAAATGAAAACTTAAATGAAACGGAAGTAAGGGATTCTCTGTTTAACATATCTTCAAAATGAGGATTTCTGTTAGATATATCCCAATGGAAAGACTACCTTATTTTTAGTCTAGATGTCTGAAATAGAACTGTACTATTTTCAGTGTCACATTTTGGCAGAGCTTCTGAAGAACATCAAAATTAGCTGACAACTACTGTGGACAGCATACTTAATGTTATAGGAGAACTGGAACAAATTCATGCATTAGAGAAGGGGCTTTATTTGAATTTGAGCTTGATGAGAAAAGTATAGTCTGAAAGCCAGTGCTTACGCAAGGAATCATTTCGTTGAGGAATTTGATGTCTCTTTAATGAAAGAGCTAGTCTCTTTAATGAATGAATAAAGAATTGTTGAAAAATAATTTCATGGATAATTCACTGATTCAGTGCCAGGTACTGAGTCGTACTTCTTGCATGTAAGTCATATACTACAGCAATAAAGTATATCCCTGGCCTCATAAAGAAATTTGCTTAAAGTTTAGAGTTGCTCAGAGAAAGAATCTATAAGAGAGAGACATAGGAATAAAAAGTTTAAAACAAGTTTTTAAAAAGCTTTTTTAAGAAGGAAGGTCTTAGAGAATGGATCTTACTGATGTGTGGGTTTTGTTTTGTTTTGCGGGCCACACCTGGTGGTGCTCAGGGGTTACTCCTGACTCTGCACTCAGGAATCAATCCTCTCAGCTTGGAGTATCACATGGGATGCTAGGGATCAAATCCAGGTTAGTTCCGTGCAAGGCAAGTACCCTATCTGCTGTACTATTGCTCCACTCCACTTATTTTTTCTAGAAATATTTTTCTTCTGTGTTTTTTCGGGGGGGGGAGTGTAATTTATTTTATTTTGGGGGACCACACCTGGCTGTGCTCAGGGATCATTCCCAGAGGTGCTCAGGGAATCATATTTGGTGCTGGAGATGAAACCCAGGTATGCTGCATGCAAGGCAAGTGGCTTACTGCTATATTATCTCTTCTGCCCAGAAAGAGATAATGAATAGATTAGTTTAATTTGTTTATGATAATCTGCATAGTTCAGTTTACAAATTGTGTGTTTGTAGTGTGTTAGAAAATTCCTACACTTTGGGCCAGAGCAATAATATAGGAGTTAAGGTGCTTGCCATACAATTCCAGTGACAGCTGGCTCAAGTTTCTAGTACCACGTATGGTCCCTTATGCACGGAGCCAGAAATAGCCCCTGTAAACCCCTGGTTGTGCCCCAATCCCTTCCAAAATAACTAAATAAAAATATCTCCAGTTACAGCGGCGTCATTTTTTCTCATTGTTAGTCATTATTATTTCTTGGCAAAAATCCTCATGTAAAACTTTTCAAACTTTTTTAAAACTAATAAAAGGCTAGTTTTATTAGACTTTTCAGAGAAGCTTGTATAACTGATCAAATCTGTTGGCTTTTTGATTTACTAATTAATTTTTATTACCTACATTAAATCCTTCTTTTGGTTACAATTTATCTTTGAATCTCTGTGTTTAGTATTTGTTGCTTCTTTCATTTTCAGCAATTCATTTTCATGTTCATATTAGTAGATTTAAAGGTGTAAGTGTTTCTGTCCATAATCTTTGACTTTCCATTTCTTTCTAATGCAGGAATCTTAAGTGTCATTACTTCAAAGTCATTGAAACACTTTAGACATTAAGGGGCCAGGATGTATGTCTTGCATATGCATTGCCTTTGGTCAATCCCAGCACCAAGTGTGCCCCAGAGCCACAGTGGCTATATTCTGGAGGCCCCAATAACTGTCAGGTGTGTTTCCAGTGACCCTGGAACTGAGGGCCCTTGTATAGACTGGTGGAGCGCAGTAGGCCTAGTATCTCCAGGAGCACCCCCTAGTTACCTGGATACCTGAATACTGACTTAGTGCCCCCCTCCCCCGCCACCCAATTTATATTTTTCAATTTTTTTTTTTTTAGGTCTGGAATTTGGCTCCATGGCAAAGCTTATGCCTTGGACGTAGGAGGCTCCGATTCAATCCCAGATACTACTAACAAAAAGTGTGGGCTCTTTTAATTTCCAAAAAGATAGATTTTCCTGCTTTACTTTTTTCCTCATTCCCTTAACTGTTCCTGCAGCCATTGCATTTAAGACCCTCTTGAGAGGGGAAAAACAAACAAACAAAAAGACACTTCGCTGGAATTGCAACTGACCACTTTCTTTTTAGTCTAAAATAATTCTTTGTACTTTTTGAAAGAATCCTGCTGTATTAATTTGGCACTTTTAATAAAATCTTGCCTGAAATTTTTGACAAACCAACTTCAGAGCACAATGACATAGGATACTTTCGTTTTGTTCCTCAGATGGTACTTAAGTTGCGTGCTGATGAATCATAGCATCAGAGTAACAATTCTGCCTGCAGAGCAAAATAAAATGCAGTCATTGATAACTGCATTCCAATTATTATCTGGAGCATAACAAGTTAATGGTACTACAGTGTCAGCACAAAAATAATTATATGTCTTAGAGTTAATGAATTAGAATATATGTTGATGTTACTTCTATGGAGCTGAGGCAAGAATACCTAATATATTTTCTGCTTCCTGGAAACTTTTTGGGTTCTTTACTTTTCTGGAGTCTAATACATTGCCAGATTTTATGAGAATGACTGTTTCAAAAGCATGCACAATGTCTGGAGAGAGCTCACCAGATTGAACATCATACTTTGAGTGGAGGTCTAGGTCCAAACCCCAGCCCCTTGAAAATGAGTGTGTTTGTTTGTCTGTTTGAGAAGTTGCACCTCACAGTGCTTTGAGATCACTTTTGGATTGTTTACTCCTTCAGTATCATGTAGTGTTGGGAATCTGACTTGGGGCTCCAACATGTACCACTGTGAGTATCCATCCTATGAATTCTTTGAGCCATCTCATGTCCTTGAAAGATATGTTCTAATGATATAGTTGGGAACTTTTAAAATAAATCTAATTATTAATATGATGAGAATGATATATTTGCAGTACTTTCTTCTTAATAACATAATTGGACAGCAGTAGAGTTCATGACCTGTATGTGTGAGACCCTTTGTTCCATTCCTGGCATCATACAAACACTCAAATATTACTAATTAGCCTACATTTTGACTTGAAATATGCAATATAATTGTCATTAAATTGTTTAGTTGTGTATGTTTTGGGCACATATGTGTATGTTCATTGTCATTAATGTACATATTTTTAGTTGAAGCATTTTGATTTTATAACATATGTATATTCAATGAGAGGGAATTAAGCACTTAACATATTACAAACATAATTTTTTATATTACACTGATACATTTAACATAAAACAGAGCCTGGAGGTAAAGATGATGTTTCAGTTGTGGCTAAAATAAAGGGCAGAGGAGCATACAACTGCATATACTAAAAGTCCTAACCAATTGTCTTATATTTACTTTCTTCAGAAGGTGATGGTGACTTTGAAGCAAAAAAAATACTGATTAGTCATCTTATAGCCAGAGATATGTTAATACATTTTCTTTTTTTTTCTAGCACACTGATTTATGTCAGTACATGGACAAGCACCCTGGAGGGCTGCATCCAGATAATGTGAAGGTAGGAAAAGACCTTTCTTAATCAAAGATTAGCATGCATCACATGTGGTTTTCGAGCCAAAGTCTAATCTCTCTACAGTGACTTAATTTTTTGCCTAAAGAGAATATTAAATTTAACCATAGTCATGCCTTTATTTAATGACTGGAAACCATGTTTTAACATTAATTTACTGGAGTATTATTGGGTAGTCCTTATCTCACTTTTTTCTTTATGGAAAAACATTTGACTATAATAAACGAATTCACTGGAATTTTATTATAAAACTATTTTAGTAGGGACAGTTGAAGTGCTCATTGCTTTCAGTATTAAATATTGTATGATCCAGTACTATAATAGTGAATTTACGGCACCTGTTTTATAATCTTGTATACAGTTGATCAACATGGTTCTGGTTTCTGTTCTCTTTAATAGCTTTTAACTAAAAATTGGATTACTATACATCAATATAACTTTTTCTCTGAATTCGCAAACATTATTGGGAATGGTCCCCAGATTTTTGGTTCAAACAAGGAGATTCTTCTTAGGAATATATTGGGTAGTTTGAAGATACCAAAGTTATATCTCAATGCTTAATTCCGTGCTCATATTTGTAATTCATGTGACTGTGTTTTACTGATTATAAAAATCAATTTATAACTATAGATATTCTATCTGAAGTAAAATTTTTTGGCTCCAATTATTCCTATTAATTATCTACACCTTTAATTGCAAAATGCCTTTATTTTCTTGTATCCTTTCCCTTTGCTCGTCAAGGTATATATGTACATAGGGTATTTTGTATGACTTTTTAAATTGATTCTTTTTGTCTTGTAAAATAATATTATGTAATATTATTTACTTTTTTCACGTAAAACATATCATGTGTAGCCTTTTAAATCAACCATTATTATGTACTTCAGTCTTTCTCATAGTTATGGTAATATACATTATGAGTAGTCATCATTTTTAACCTTATTAATAGGTCTTTGGGTATTACCAGACTGTGCTACAATGACTGATTCTAGAGTCACTAATTTTATAAAATCTTTTCACACTTATTTGAATAGCTAGATATCTCCTTGATTTGTAAAGGGTCTTACTTTATTCAAAATGAGATGTGATCTAAATATAAGTGAATTTCACTAGAATATTTAGGGTTGTAAATTATAGAATTTTGTTTATCTAGCATTGAGTAAAGCCAGTAATTTAAATTTTTCCTGTAGTGATAAGTAAAAAGGCATGCCATTACATTTTCTTGCCTGATAATAACAAATCATTGTTTCCAAATATATCTTAACGATTAATAATTAAATTATTTTCTATTCTTTATGTAGTGTCCTATTTTCTTTTCCTTAATAAATTTGAAGTGCTTTGTAACATTAGTAGTGTTGATAAGATCTTGGATAGTGGTCAGTTACACTGTTGAATTTTAGGGTGAAGAAACTGAAAAATATTGTTTTATAAACATAAAACAAATATGGTACTTATACTCATGTTGATTTTTTCATTTATTTTCCCTTTTTTAAAACATTTTCCAACATTTTTACTTTTCGGTTGACTTACTTTTTAGTGCTAGACTCAAGGAAGTAGTCTTAATAGGTGAAGAGATTTGTTTTATTATTCTGTCAGAGAGCTGGAGCGATAGCACAGTGGGTAAGGCATTTGCCTTACACGTAGCTAACATAGCTGACCCAAGTTCGATTCCTCCGCCCCTCTCAGAGAGCCCGGCAAGCTACGAGAGTTTCGCACCTGCACGGCAAAGCCTGGCAAGCACCCCGTGATGTATTTTATATGCCAAACACAGTAACAAGTCTCACAATGTTACTGGGCCCGCTGGAGCAAATCCATGAACAACGGAAGGACCGTGACTTGTGACTTGTATTCTGTCAGAGGGAATTGCCCATATCTGGTTGTGTTCATTGCTTACTACTGACTCTTTGCTCAGGGATCACTTCTGGCAGTGCTCCTGGGATAATATGTGACACTGAGATTTGACTGGGTAGTTTGCATGTTTTCTCATTTTCTATATGTTTCCATCTGTGGAGTCATAGCCATGCTCTATGGAATATCACCACACTATCTCTTCACGTAGGATCATAGGAAGATCAGAAGAAAGGAGCTCTCCATACTGAGACTGAGCTAACTCCCATGTTCTTACATGGTTTGACCGCACAGCCTGCATGCAGCCCATTTGTCTCTCGTAGCTGGAGCGATAGCACAGCGGTAGGGCGTTTGCCTTGCATGCAGCCAACATGGCTGACCCAAGTTTAATTCCTCCGCCCCTCTCGGAGAGCCCGACAACCTACCGAGAGTATCTTGCCCGCACGGCAGAGCCTGGCAAGCTACCCGTGACGTATTCGATATGCCAAACACAGTAACAACAAGTCTCATGATGGAGACGTTACTGGGTCCGCTCGAGCAAATCGATGAACAACAGGAGGACAGTGACAGTGACAGTGACAGCCTTACAGCATAGTGATACGCCACAGAGCATGGCTATGACTTTACAGATGAAAGAATATAGAAAATGGGAAAACACAAAAACTAGAGCATGCCCTGTGATGCTTTAAAAGTAGGTGTCAGACATGTCTCAGGATAGAAAACTGATTGTTTCTTTGGTTTCCTTGTCATTGATTTCTGCTCTAAGTTTTTTTTTTTTTTTTTTTTTTTTTTTTTTTTTTTTTTTTTTTTTTATTAGTGAAACAACATGAGGTACAGTTATAGATTTACAAATTTTGTGCTTGGATCTCGGTCATACCACGATCAAATACCCATCCCTCCACCAGTGCCCATTTTCCACCACCAGGATAATATCCCTCCCCCCCATCCTCCCATCCCCCCATCCCCCCCTGCCACTGTGGCAGGGCATTCCCCCCTGTTCTCTCTCTCCTCCTGGGCGCTGTGATCAGCCAAAGAGGCATTGAGTGGCGAACATGTTCAGTCCAGTCTACTTTCAACCTGCATCTCCCCTCCTGGGAGGATCCTCCAAACACCCTCCACTTGGCGTTCCCCTCTCCATCTGAATTGTCCTTTCCCCTAGAATGCCCAGCTGGCCTCTAAGTTATGGAGTAATTCTCCTGGTGTTGTGGGTATTAATCTCATATTTTATTATTTTATATCCCCCAGATGAATGCTATCTTTCTATGTCTATCCCTCTCTTTCTGACTCATTTCGCTTAGCATGATACTTTCCATATTGTACCACTTGTATGTAAAGTTCGTGATTTCATCTCTTTTAAGAGCCACATAGTACTCCATTGTGTAGATGTACCAAAGTTTCTTTAACCAGTCATCTGTTCTTGGGCACTCAGGTCTCTTCCAGTTTCTGGCTACTGTAAAGAGTGCTGCAATGAACAAACAAGTGCAGATGTCCCTTCGGCTACACGTTTTTGCCTCTCTGGGATATATTCCCAGGAGTGGTATCGCTGGGTCAAATGGGAGCTCAATTTCTAATTTTTTGAGGAACGTCCATACTGTTTTCCAGAAGGGCTGAACCAGTGGACATTCCCACCAACAGTGAAGGAGTGTCCCTTTCTCGCCACATCCGCGCCAGCAACGGTTGCTTTTGTTCTTTTGAATGTGGGCCAGTCTCTGAGGTGTGAGATGATATCTCATTGTGGTTTTGATCTGCATCTCCCTGATGATTAATGATGTAGAGCATTTTCTCATGTGCTTTTTTGCCATTCGGATTTCTTCTTTGAGAAAGTTTCTGTTCATTTCATTGCCCCATTTTTTGATGGGGTTGGATGTTTTCTTCTTGTGGAGTTCTACCAGTATTTTGTATATCCTTGATATCAACCCCTTGTCAGATGTGTATTCGGCGAATATTCTTTCCCATTCTGTAGGCTGTCTTTGTATTTTGGTCACTGTTTCTTTGGAGGTACAGAAGCTTCTTAGTTTAAGATAGTCCCATTTATCTATCTCTGTTTTCACTTGCTCAGCCAGTGGCGTGTCATCTTTGAACATACCATTAGCCTCAATGTCATGGAGGGTTTTGCCAACTTTGTCTTCAATGTATCTTATGGTTTCTGGTCTGATATTGAGGTCTTTAATCCATTTTGATCTTACCTTTGTACATGGTGTTAGGCAGAATTCTGAGCCCATTTTTTTGCATGTAGCCGTCCAGTGATGCCAGCACAATTTGTTAAAGAGGCTTTCCTTACTCCACTTCACATTTCTTGCACCTTTATCAAAGATTAGATGATCATATGATTGGGGGGTGATGTCAGTGTATTCAACTCTGTTCCATTGGTCTGCAGTTCTGCCTTTGTTCCAGTACCATGCTGTTTTGATTATTACCGCTTTGTAGTAAAGTTTGAAGTTCGGGAGGTTGATTCCTCCCATTTTCTTTTTCCCAAGAATTGCTTTAGCTATTCGTGGGGGTTTATTATTCCATATAAATTTCAGGAGTGTTTTCTCCATTTCTTTGAAGAATGTCATGGGTATCCTTATAGGGATTGCACTGAATTTGTACAGTGCTTTCGGTAGTATTGCCATTTTGACAATGTTAAGTCTTCCGACCCATGAGCAGGGGATGTCTTTCCATTTCCTCATGTCCTCTTTTATTTCCTGAAGTAGCGTTTTGTAGTTTTCTTTGTACAGGTCCTTTACTTCCTTAGTTAAGCTGATTCCTAGGTACTTGATTTTCTGGGGCACAATTGTGAACGGGATTGTTTTTTTCATGATGCTTTCTTCTCTCTCACTGTTTGCATATAGGAAAGCCATGGACTTTTGTGTATTGATTTTATAACCTGCAACTTTACTATACAAGTCTATTGTTTCTAGGAGTTTTTTGGTGGAGGTTATTGGGTTCTCTAAGTATAGTATCATATCATCTGCGAATAGTGAGAGCTTTATTTCTTCCTTTCCTACCTGAATGCCCTTAATGTCTTTTTCTTGCCTAATTGCTATTGCAAGTACTTCCAGTACTATATTGAACAGCAGTGGAGAGAGTGGGCATCCTTGTCTCGTCCCTGATCTTAGAGGGAAGGCTCTCAGTTTTTCCCCATTGAGGATGATGCT